ATTTAAAGATGTGCATCTTTAAGCATGACAGTTGAAATGAAATGGTAACACTTTAAAATAAGAGTCCATTTGTAGCATTAAGATTAATGAAAGCTGTGTAAGTATTGTTCTTTGTTAGAGTGCGTTAATTTCAACATTTACTCTTACTATTATTATTATTTTATTTATTTTTTTACAACTACTACTAGTATGGTTCAGTACTGTTTTTGTTAATAAAACCACGTTCATATTCGCGCGATTTTTTTGCGCAGCTCGTCAGTGAACAACGGCTCTGTGTAGTTAATGCTGCTCCATGTGAAAGCCCGCAGGTGATGGAGATTTACCGCTGATTACAGAACCGGCTTTCTGACAAGATGCGCGTTAAATATCGCATGCGATTTATCGTGCAGCCCTAGGTTTGTTTTAAAATTTCAATTTAGTTTTGTTATTTCAATTTCACAAAGAAACGTGCAGCAATAGCCTAATAAAAGGACACCTTCTCATTTCCTGTATAATGTCTTCAATCTCGTTTTGTTAAAAAAATCGACTCGTGAGTTGAGTGAATCGTTATATCCCTAATTATATTCGGTTGCTTCTTTAATGCATTTAATTAATGTCTACATTAATAATAATAATAATAATAATAATAAAAAAAATTTGATATTAATATCCCACATTTCTGACACAATACTATGGTGCTTTTTTTTATAATTTTTAAAAAATTATATCGCGATAATTATCGTTATTGATTTATCGCCCAGCCCTAATATCAGACATAGCGATGTTGCTGTGTTTGCTAAAATGCCACATAATGTTCTCTGCTAATTCTGTGAGTGTTTCCTCTCGCAGCGGCGCTCCTCGTAACGATGGCAGACACACGGGCCGATCCCGCCGCGCAGTCGGAGCTGATGGATGAGGACGAGCCCTTCTTCAGTAACCTGGACCTCTTCCTCTTCTCGCTCATCGCCGGCCTGCTCGTCTACTGGATCATTTTCCGCAAAAAAGCCGAGCCCATCCCGGAGTTCAAAAAACTAGAGTCTACGTAAGTACCTCCAAACCGCTCCTGTATGGTTGAGAGAACGTTAGAATGTAAATCTGCAAACATATTCACTTTTTAGCTTTTTTAATTGTGTCATCTGTGTGAATTAAACTGAACAGACTTCTCACATCTGAGAAGAAATTAAATTGACATCTGTAAGGTCAGTATCATTGCAGTCTTCCTGGAAACAGTTTGTGTTTTCTTCGGCCGCAGCTGATTCTGCTGACGCTGGAGGAGCAGGGAATGTTTATTGCCTTGAGTAATGTCATTGGCAAAGGTCTTACTCAATGCCAGACATTACAGTCACTCCTGAGATAAACCGTAGAGCGTCATCATGGTTGAAGGATACGCTTGTGTTTCATTTATCTCTCTCGCATTATATATATCCCCTGGCTTCAGACACAGACGGCAAGAGTTAGAATAGGATTAGAAAAATAAGTTCCATAAATGTAATTTACATTTAGTTATTTAGCAGACGCTTTTATCCAAATAAGGACAATAGAAGCAATCAAAATCAACAAAAGAGCAATGATATGCAAGTGCTATGACATGAATATGGCATATTGTGCTATGCCATAAATAGTTGCAAATCTTAAAATGTTTAATTAAGACTTTTGTGTTTCTGCAAAGCATTTCTGCGTGTCACCAATGAGAAAAAAGACTGTATGTCAATCATAGCATATATTACAAGTGCACACACTGTATCCCCTGGCTTCAGACACAGACGGCAAGAGTTAGAATAGGATTAGAAAAATAAGTTCCATAAATGTAATTTACATTTAGTTATTTAGCAGACGCTTTTATCCAAATAAGGACAATAGAAGCAATCAAAATCAACAAAAGAGCAATGATATGCAAGTGCTATGACATGAATATTATATAGTAAATAGTATTATAAATAGTATACATAAATACTTGCAAATCTTAAAATGTTTAATTCAGACTTTTGTGTTTCTGCAAAGCATTTCTGCGTGTCACCAATGGGAAAAAGACTGTATGTCAATCATAGCATATATTACAAGTGCACACACTGTAAAAAAAATTCCGTAAAATTTACGGTAAAAAAATGGCAGCTGTGGTTGCCGGAATTTTACCGTAAAAAATACGGTAGCAATGTTTTAGGTTTTACGGTTTTAACTTAAATGTACAGTTAAATACCGTAATTTCATTAACTGATATAATGTTAATATACCAACCTACTGAAGTACTGAAATCTGTTTTGTAGCTTTGTAATACACTGATAACCACCAAAAGCAGGAGGTGATGAGAAAGTCACACGATGAACCAAAGCCCATCACAAGCAGCTTTTAAATAATAACATATATAGAAGGTGCACAGCGTCATTCACACAAACACTAAACACCATCACGGTAACACACATGAAACTGAAATAATGCATTAGGTGTAACACACAACCATAATATACAAAACTGATAAGAAAAAACTAAGAAGAAATGGTTATTTCAACTAAAAAACATCCAATTTGAAATGTAACACAGGGAATTCTGGGAATTTCAATTTACGGTTATTCACTGTAAATTATACGGTCTTTTTCACTTCCAAAAACGGTATACTACCGTAAAATTAATGTCCAATACATGTAATGTCATATACAGTTTTTCACCGTATATAGTAGGGGAATTTACCGTTAACCATTTAACAGGTTTTTACTGTAGCATTTTTACAGTCTTTTACCGTTAAATTCACGGTCATTTTTTTACAATGCATGATATATTTGTCTTACACCGTTATAAGGTAGTACTAGATGTGATGTGTGAATTTTATTTTAATCTGGTTTCTAAATATACTTAAGCATGCATAATCATACCGTGTGATTTTAATACTTTTATAACGATCAATGATTTAATCTAATACTTTCATTTCTACAATGATCTAAGGTCAGTAAGTGAATATTGTCTGTGCGCATAGCCATTTTACGTTAAAATGCAGCATCAGAGAACGACAGAGATCTTCAAAAAAATACCCGTTCTGGTCGTAGGTCCACAAAACAAAACAAGCCTGATTTCTATTTAAAACTAGACCAAAACTAGCCAGAGTTTTCCCCTCTGTCAAAATTGCTTTAAGGGTGATTGCTTTAATTTAAAAACGGATGGAAAAAACAACCCAGCTATTATTATTATTATTATTATTATTATTATTAAAATTATTATTGTTGTTGAAAGTTTTTGTCACAATTTAAATATGCTGATTTTTTAATAGCTTTTTTCCTCTCCGTATTAGTAGTATCAGTATTATATAGTTAAGCTGGGCGCTTTTTGCTGTCGTACAAGCTCATAAGTGTTTTTTTCCCCCATCGTGAGAAATCGTGTGGAAATTGTTGATGCTCGTGGCTCACATAGTGTAAGAGGAATTGAACCGAGCACCTCACGAGCAGTGTTGGGGAAAGTTCATTTTAAAAGTAATACATTACAATATTGCATTACTTCCTTAAAAAGTAACTAATTACATTACTTAGTTACTTTTTATGTAAATTAATGCATTGTAACTTTTCTCATCTGAGCTGGGCTTGCTTGATTTTTTTTATATCAAAAAGTTATATAGTTTGTATTTCACTGTTTTTATTCATTTTGAGGAATACTGAATCTGTTTTTGTGAGATGAGATGAGTAATATACATAGGCTAGATCTGTGTGTATTATTATGTCTCAGTGGCTAATAGGCACACACACAAAATAAAAATACAGATCTCTCTAGTTGGGTTTTTATTTTATTTATTTAAATAAAGTTTGAAGCACTGTTCCGGATAATTGCAGTTAAAGTTGCTGTTCGATGCACTGAAATGGTGTTTGATGTTATCAGTTTTACAGACCTGCGTGCATAAACAACACTTGACTTTATTTGTGGTCTGTTTTCAGTGTCTGCTTTTCTTTTCACACTCGATTAGTTTTCGCTGTCACACTAACACTGTCCACTGTCTTGTTTTTTTTTACATTAGATGTGTCAAAGCAAAAGTAGCACAAATGCATGTTTTAATCAAAACTACGAGATTTTTTCTAGTATTTGTGCGATTATTTATAACATACACCATTCTGTATGGTTGCAAAGACCATTTCGGGTTAGTGGGATTACCAACGTTTTGAATTTTGCCTTCAAACGTTTCAATTTTGTGACTTCACATGTGATTACATAAAAATTGCTGAATTGTTGTTATTTATGAGTAAATGGTTGTTTGAATCGAGATCCTTCAATGATTAATCATGCAGCTGCCTTCTTAAATGATCAGAATAAGGAAGTTATGTGTAGAGAAGTACAGCACCCTTTTCTTATTCGCAGTATTTGTATTTGCATGATGCAAAATTAGAACGCATGTAATATCTTCACTTAACAACAGTAAATATACAATAACATTTAGTCATTAGTTTTTCAGTCTCTTACATTTATTGAGCTACTCTAAAAATAAATAAATAAATACATCTAAAAAAAAAACTTGTGCGTGTCAAAGTCTACGAGACCATGTTGATGCCAAGCACCACTGGTCATTATGTGTCTTGTTTCCAGTCGTGTTGCTGCAGAAGTGCAGTAAATTCAAGCTCTATTTGATGTTAAAACAGTGTGCAGGTTAAAGTCAATATGGAACACCATTACAACTTTTTTATTCAGTTACCTCTTTTGAAGAGATTTTTAACAAAGTTAAGCCAAATGCAGTTTTTTACCAAAAATGCATAAATATGACAATTAAAAAAATATATATATTTCAGAATTCAGAGAAAAAAGTAAAAATTGTGAAATTTAACCTCAAAATTCTGGGGGAAAAAAGTCTGAATTGTGTGATAAACACACAATTTGCTTCACAATTCATCTTGATTAATCTCACCTGACATTAAAGTTTTTACATATACTTTTGTATTACAATAATTTCACGTTCACTCAGTCACTTCAAATTAATGTAGAAACAACATAAAGACAGTATATTTTAATAGGCCTATTTGTTTAATGGTATCTTTTTTATGACTAAAAGCGAGTATCACTGAAACCAATACTACTGATCTCTCAGTTCTCAAATTATTCTTTTTTTCCTAATATTTAACCATAAATATCGACTATACTAACATTACGGAGACCATGTTGATGCCAAGCACCACTGGTCATTATGTGTCTTGTTTCCAGTCGTGTTGCTGCAGAAGTGCAGTAAATTCAAGCTCTATTTGATGTTAAAACAGTGTGCAGGTTAAAGTCAATATGGAACACCATTACACTAACTTTTTTTATTCAGTTACCTCTTTTGAAGAGATTTTTAACAGAGTTAAGCCAAATGCAGTTTTTACCAAAAATGCATAAACATGACAATTAAAAAAAAAAAAAAATCTCAGAATTCAGAGAAAAAAGTCAAAATTGTGAAATTTAACCTCAAAATTCTGGGGGAAAAAAGTCTGAATTGTGTGATAAACACACAATTTGCTTCACAATTCATCTTGATTAATCCCACCTGACATTAAAGTTTTTACATATACTTTTGTATTACAATAATTTCACGTTCACTCAGTCACTTCAAATTAATGTAGAAACAACATAAAGACAGTATATTTTAATGGTATCTTTTTTATGACTAAAAGCGAGTATCACTGAAACCAATACTACTGATCTCTCAGTTCTCAAATTATTCTTTTTTTCCTAATATTTAACCATAAATATCGACTATACTAACATTACAGTATAATTGCGAGCTATCAATTTTAACATTTGTTAGAATTTAAAAAATAACTTCTAATCTATTCTTCTTCACATAAACCCATTATAATAAATGTCATATTTACCTGTGCCCTTCAGCACGTAGGAAATATACAGAAATTGAATAAAGTTATCAAACACTAAATTCCAAATTAAATATAGATGAATCCTTAAAGCTACAAAAGTGATTGATTTACTCGTTTTTCTTTTGTTCTTTGACGTCACAGCAGCTGGTTATTAGGTTATTTGGCTGCTATTACTTTAAGAGCTGCTGCTGCTGAATGTGACGTGAATCTGGCACGTAGTTTCATTCGC